ATATATGGTAATACTCCATATATTTTGTCATTCGAATTTTGCTTATCTGCTGGTCCTGTTAATCCAAAATCTGAAACAAAAGAATAAGTTTTATCTTGCAATATATTTCCACTATGAAAATCCTTATGACAATATCCTAATTTTTGTAAATTATTAAGGTCTGATATAATATTATATAATTTTAGAATTTTTTCTTTCCATAAAATATTGTTAAAATTATTTGAAAGACAATTTCTCAAATTTTCATTAGGTAAATATTTTACGATCATAATAAATTCTTTGGTTTTTGGATCCTTAGTTATTCCATAAAAATTTAATGAACTTCTATCGTTTTTATAAATATCCCAATGTGCTTTAAGCTAGTTATTTCAATAAAAATTTAAGCAAATTTGATATATTCTAGATAATAAATATCAAATGTAAATGTAAATACCTCATTAAAATAATTGGTAGACATATTTTGTGACCCATTTAACCTTTTCAAAGCTACCTTCTTTGGTCTAGAATCAAATTTTTTCCACCTTGCATCATATTTTTCAAATATCGATTTACCATTAATCCATGTTGCAGAATACACTTTAGCGAATCCTCCTTCACCAATTTCTTTTATATCTGTGAATTTATCAAATGGCACCCATTCAAGAAATCGGTCATAAACATAATGTCTTACATCAAATATTGTATCTTTGATGAATTTATCAATATCAGAATTTCCACTAGTCCATCCTTCAATTATACACCGAGGATCACATTCTTTACACCATAATTTTTCTGTAAACGGTTTATCACAATAAGAACATTTACTACTTTCTGAGACATTTAATTTGTTGTATTCAGATACTTTTAGGCATTGAACTTCATTTTTATGGTTATTAACGTCCATTATTTTTTTTTAAAAAAAAAAAAATTTTGTAATTTCAAATGAGGATATAAAAGGAATTATCATGACCAAATTTGGAAATAATTTCCAAACACAAATCAAATGATCGGTTACTGCGGTAATTATTAATTTGGGCCAAGTTTATAAATTTAGCTCAAAATACTCTGTTTAAAAGGTTTTCATACAAAATATCATTATGAATGTTTTAAACCATGTAATTGTTCTTTACCCAGCTTCTCTTCCATAACTTTATTCTTCTTCAATAATACTTTTATAAATTAAACTTAGAAAGTTTAGTAGAGAAAAATCGAGATCACTTATAAAAATTTCCTAGTTTGTCAGTTTCAAATACAAACCATACTGTTTTTTTTGTTTAAGTACATGTTAATATAATTCCCGCAGTAAATTTACTATTGAATTATTATAATTTTATTTAGAGTTTGAGATAATTTGATAAGTTGAATCTATAAAAAAAGGCGGTTTCTATGTTTAAAATCTATTATATTACATGAAAAGGGATTTTATAGAAGAATTTTAGAAGCCCTTCTTCCTTAAAATGTATATTTTTAAATTTAATTAAAATAAAAATTTAAAATTAATTAATTTTCATGCATTCCATAAAGTTTATTGCCTTTGAATATAAATTTTGCTATCGAATGCTCAGTAGGACTAATGAGTTTTCGAGATAATATTTTTTTCGGACCTTTGACATCGTGATCATGTAACTTTTATATTTCGACTTTGTATCCAATAATACTAATAGTGAATAAGAATATACAATAAATTATGAAAATAAAATAAAGATAAAAAACAGATGATTTTAAATTATATCATCTACCGTTTTTAGCGAATTACTACGGAACTTGCAGGTACCACTGGTTAGCGTTAACTTTATTTCTCGTAAAATTAATATGAAGGAAGGACAAAAGTATTGCACGGTAATTATTTAGATAATTGAGTAAATTTTTCATATTAAAATTAGCTATTTGTCTAAAGTTGTTTTTACTGATATACAGTATAAGCAATAAGAAATCACATAACAATTACATACCAATTTATTAGCAGTTTATTTAAATGTAAAAGATAAAATTATTATGTAAAATATAATTTGTTGAATTTATACCATCCTTGTTATAGAAGGTGACAATATCGATTAGATTTCGGTTTTTCGCTTGTCAATTTGGCCGACACAAATTTTCAATTTATTTATTTAGACAAGATTAATTGCATTTCGGTCGGTAATGATTTATTCTATTACTGCAGATTGGCTATAAGTTGGTTATACTTAGTACAAATTCGAGATTTGAACTTTCTAGTACCTCTTTTGCAATGGGTAAGCCAAAAATTTCATTTCGTTGATAGTTGATATTTGTTGTATTTGTTGATTCTTTTTGCTTTTTTGCGTGCCATGTGTATTATTATTATACTCATATTTTAATATAATTTTAAATGCGTTTTTTGGTACGCAGTCAATATGATCATGTTATAAGTTTTTATAGTTACAACACTAAAAGATTTGTTGACTGCTGAACGTATTGATATGGAAACGCTTAAAGTTGGAGGATTGTATATATTTAAGCACTTTTCTTTATGATTTTGATTATAAGGTAGGCAGAAAGTTTTTAAATTTCAACTGATTTATTTAATCCAATATAACGTAAATAACACTCTTAACGTACTGTATGATCTTTAGTCCGGATCGTAGCGAAGGATTATCTGGCTGTGTGACATAAAATGTCCATCTGTCGGCCCGCTCGTCGATTACTTTATTTGTCAAAGCTACTGAATACTGTAAAAACCGTTTATGTGATTATTCAAATAAGAATAACCATTTAGCTCCGGACTAACCAACGGTTTTCAAATTCATTGTAACATTATTCAATTTATGAAAAGAAGGGGAATGTTTTGCTTAGATTCAAGCCATAGTTATATATTACTGAATTTAAGCATTTATTAGATCATGGATAATATTGCTGTCTGCTATTAAGTTTGACGATTTAATGTCAAAACAAGTAAAGTAACGTCATGACGGGTGCTCCGATTGTATCTGATATATAATTCCTCGTTTCTCGCATTTAACCTTTGCCGACATTTTCTTTGAAAAAATCCTCAAAAAAAAAATTTATAATCTAATTAAATAATGTATTTTATTGGTATATTAGAGATAATTGCAATGTAACATCAAAATGTAAATCTATTTATAAATAATAGAATAATCTTTTTAAAGGAAATGAAATAAAGATATAATTTTATTAAATAAATATCAAATGAATACAAATAAATGCAACTATTACTGCCTCTTCCGGTAGGCCTAAGCGAGAATAGAACTATCTAAATCAAATGTTCAAATCCTATCTAAAACTAAACGAAAAGTTCTTCTTTTTATAATAATTTCCATTCCTATGGCTTTGTTACTGAATTCTTGGCAAAGATCAATATTATTGCAGCTTGAATGACGGAAATGCTCATTAATCGCTTTCTAATGTTAAAAATGATCATTTTAACACATGCTTTCCATCATCCCGACTTGTATAAAGATTCGAAATGTCGATTCCAACAGATATGCCAGTGTCACTCTCGGAAATTAACTGCGCCTAAAATTGGATTTCCTCAGTCCTAACGATCAATTCTGATATATCTGTTGGACTTCTCGATAAGTTAGGATTCCTCAACATGATGTAATGTATATGTCTAAATGAATGTTTTTGATATAATGAAGCGATCAATAAGCATTATCGTCAGTCAAGCCGCAATAATTAGTAATCCTGCCAAGAATTCTATAACTAAGCCATGGGAAGGAAATTTATTATAAAAAGAAGGATCTTTCGTCGTGATTTAGATTAGAATTAGTTCTCTTTAGGCCTATTACAGAGAACCAGCAGAGGCAGTAATAGTTGCATTTATTTTATTATTTTTACACTTTATTCAATAAATTTGATTCCTTTTATTTTTATTTAATAAAAACTTTATTTAATTCTATATTCAATTGTTTCACATACTGTACGTATTTTCGCTATACTACATTGTGTTTCCTAATAAATCTAATAAACCTAACAAACATAAAATCGCCTCTTTACGAATTTAGGAGGTGACACCAGAAATGGCAGCAAATTGACGTCATTGCCGCGCCGATGGTGACACAGGATTTATCACCTTATGACCGTCCACATGATAATTTGTACAACTTTAAAATGCAACACAATACATTTTTTTTTTTTTTTTTAACAAAGTATAATGTCTTTTGAATATCATCAAGAAGTTATTAAAGATTTAGAGAATTTACTTGAAACTGAAAAGGGATATGACGTTATTATCTATGCCGGTGAAAATGAAAACACAAAAGAGTTACATGCGCATTCAAATATTTTATGTGCTAGGTCAAAATATTTTTGTACAGCATTTTCAAATGAATGGAACGAAAAAAAGGACGGAAAATTTATTTTAAAGAAACCTAATATTCTTCCTCAATTTTTTAAGATTATTCTAAGGTAATGTGAAAATGTTTTGTTAAACTTTGTTTATATGAATTTAATGCCTAGCGTTTATTTGACTAATGCTTTGTTTAGATTTCTTTATTGCGGGAAAATTGATTTGAAAGAATTAGAAGGAGCTGATTTATTGAAACTTTTAATTGCGGTAGATGAGATTAATATTCAATCTTTAGTCACTTGTACTCAAGAATACTTAATTAAACATCGAGACAAGTTTTTACAAGAGAATCCTATAGAAATCCTTGAAGCAGTTTTTCAGCATGAATCTTTTACAGACTTATGGAACTATTGTCTTGAAAAAATTTGTGAAAAACCTAATGGATTATTTAGTTCAGATAAATTTATAAATTTAAGGGCATCTTTGTTGGAATCGCTTATAAAACGTGATGATTTAAACTTAGAAGAAATCAATATTTGGAATAGTTTATTGAAATGGGGCTTTGCACAAAATCCTTCTATTTCACAAGAAAACAAGAAATGGAGTAATGATGAAATTACAATCATGAAAAGAACACTCCATAGATATACTCCTTTAATTAGATTTCATCATATCTCTCCAGAAGATTTTCTCAGTAAGGTATATCCTTTAAAAAAATTGCTACCAGAGGATTTAGTTGATAACCTTTTAGCATTCCATATCACTCCAAGTAAGAAAACAAAGATCGATATACAACCACCTAGACAGTCAAAACAGCATGTTTATGATTCAATCTTATTTCAACCTCGGCTTTTTTCCATATTTTCTAGTTGGATCGATAAGAAAGAAAGTTTACATTACAATAATGAACAAAGTATTCCTTATAAGTTTGATTTGCTTTATCGTGCCAGTAGGGATGGCGATACACCTGCCGCATTTCATCAAAAATGTGATAATAAAGGGGCTACTATAGTTATAGTAAAAATTAAGAGAACTGAAACAATAGTGGGTGGATATAACCCAATTGGTTGGGAAGGAAGTGGTAGTAAGTTAACTTATGATAGTTTTATATTCTCATTCGTAAATAGAACAAACCTTCAAACTGCAAAAGTAGGTTATGTTATTAATGATAATTCTCAATATGCTATTTATTGTTATCAAATTTATGGTCCAGTATTTGGTGGTGGTAGTGATCTTTATTGCAATAATAATTGGGGTTCTAATAATCACCCACATACCTATTCTCAAATTGATATTCCAAAAGATCAATTTCAAGTAGATGATTATGAGGTATTTCAAGTTATTAAAAATTGAAAAAAGTTACTATTTTATAAATTGTTCTAATAAATTATGCATATATTAATTTATATGCCCGTTTATATTAAAATATAATCTTTGCTTTTAAAAATTTAAAAAAATAATGATAAATACGATTTGTGTGATTAAAACTGTATAGAATTAGAAATATTAAAAATATAAATAATAAATTTAATACTATATTGTTCCATTGTCCATTATTTTAATTGAATAAATTATGAAAGAAAAAAAAGATATGAAGGCATCAAGATTATTAATATGAAGAAGTATGATATAATTATTTAAGTCGGAATTCGTTATTTGCTAATAAATTCCAAATGCAACCAAATAGAAGTTTCTCATATTAATCTGCGTTACTTACTTACAAGGTCATTATTTGTTGAATTTTACGATTTTTGCTGTTTTGTGAGATATTCGTGAAATTTCTTCGCATGATAAATGGCAATAATTTTGTGTTGCTCTTTACATAAGCTTTTTTGCCTTTTAAGTTTATTAGGTCATACTTATATGAAAAACTTTTCAACCTCTCGAAATATGAGGAACTCAAAATTCCTTACGAGTATAGACTATGTAACTTTTATGAATGGAAAGAGCTTCATTACTGTGATAATCGGTGACACATTCTCGCTCTAAATTTTTAAATTAGTTTTAAATATATTATATATTATATTTAGCAGCATATTATTGGTGCTTAATTCTAAAGAAGATTTTCACTTCAATTATAGTATAGCTTCAATTAATCGGTGTTTACATTTTTAAAAAAAAGGAAAATATATATCAGAAGCGAGGTACTTTTGAGTTATCAAGTAAGTTAGATGACAGGAATTTAAATTTATATTTACGCTAGGCCATCGAAATTATAAAAACCACATTCTTCGCCATTGTCCAATATAACCTATCAAGTTGCAGTGACTCATTATCAGAAACTCCTAAGTATGACATTCTGAGGTTGAGGCAATTGTAATGCTTTGACCATCTTCTTCGTCATAGGATACTCGCTCTTCTTCATTGTTGTTTGTAATTGTCTTTGAACGTTTTTTTAGTTATGGGACCGTTTAGAGATGAAATTTGGTATTTTTAGTTATATTCATGAATTCCAATTAAAACTGTAAAAAAGTGCAATCGCGAAAAAGTGTGATTTATTTGTATATATTGACTTAATAAAGATATACTATTGATTAACTCACAAGTTAGAAATGTTCACTCGAATCATGATAAGTTCGAGTTATTCGAATAACTAGTTGACCTACGTAATATGTCTCCCTAGCTAATGTTGTGATGAGTATCTACCTGGAAAAAAAGGACCAAGCCAAATTGGGTTCTCAGAGATTTTAGTTTAGATAATTCTTGTATCTTGTAACTGAGTATATAATCTTTAGATTATTTGGATGGAATTCTGAACGCTGAATATATTGTCAGTTTTTATACGTAATAAAATAATAATTAAAAAATTTAAAAAGGTAAATATACAAAAAGTTTGTACAACATATTATTGTAACATTATCAATAACTTCAAATCGTATTATTAATATAATTAGTATTTTACATGAGAAACTCGCAATAAATATAAGAATTATACCTGGAATTATAGTGTAAGCTGTACCAAAGCACCAGATTTCGTAATTTTTGATTTGATTTGGGTAATACTTAATTAGATACATAACGTAACTTATAAATACAATATCTTAATTTTCTAATTAATTATATAAATTACCAGTGTAGCCAAATTATCCAACCGCGTTACATTGTACTTCAACATTTGGTAATAACATTCGTAGAATCAATGGCTCCATACCTCCCATTTGTCAACAACTTGATTCCAGCTTAAAATTAACAAGTTTATTGTAGGATCAACTATTAAAAACATAATTTTTTATAAACGCAATTTTCTAATGCACCAGAGGCGTTCTTTGGACTTCTACGTAATGAGAAACATAAAAGGGTTCCATAGTTTCACGGCCCACTTCCCTAACATCTTTTTGGGACGAGAAGAGAAAAAAAATTAAACCAAATTAGTATATCGAATAATAATTAATATTTATTAATAAAAAAATAATTTCAATTCCAAGAAAACCTTTTTCTGTTATTTCCGCAAGACTGAAGCCGCTAACCGTTGTAAGTCCACATTATCCGAAAGGCTAATGTGTAAAGAACACGAAATTCTCATCCAAAATAGTTAGTTTCGCATGATCCGAAAATGTACCAAATTATTGATTATATAAATCGTTAAGCATTAAGTAATGAAAGTTTGACTCAAATTAATAAATCTTGTAGTTTGTATAGTCACATATTCAGAATTTCGGGTATTTTTTATAACTAGTTATTATTATGGGTTATGTAAAATTGTCAAGTTGGTTATTTGAATATTATTACAGTTAAAAGCTCGTAACTTTCTAAACATTTGTATCCTCCTATGTTGTTTAATATATCCTTATTATGTTCGCAATCGTTAAATTATCAATGTATAATACCGTTTGTCGAATCAATGCATTTACTATAATTATCTGATCCAAATTAAAAATATTGAATCAATTGAGATAATTTCCCATGTAATGAATAAAAAGGTTGTTCAGACAAATCATTGTTTGATTCTTCATTTATTTGAACAATTTCTAATATATTTGTTTTTGGAATAATTGAATTACTTGTATATTTCCAGACTATTGTGTGGCTCGTAATATAAACAATTTAATGATCGGAATAATTAAATATTAAAAATAAAATTATATTATAGCTAAAGTATTATCATATTATTATCCTTTAATATAATAAGGTGGTCCTATTACAGCACACCAACACTATAAACATCACTTTTATCATTTAGCGTATATTATTGCAAAATATTGTCATTTTTTCTCTGCTATCAAATCTTTTTAGATCAACATAAGGAAGTACATCAATACATGTTTTTTAGTTACTTCAATTCTTTAGACAATCCAAAATCAACTAGTTTAATAGCACAATGATGAATTAATATATTATTGGAATGCTATATAATAAAAAAAATTAAATATTAAATATTAATAATATTGGAATCAAATGTATATTATGTAAAAAGTTCAAATCACATGCACAATTCATCCTTCATGTAAATGTGAAACTGCACCAACTGGTATGGAAGTCATTCCAAGTAAGATATCAAAATGATCCTTCGAATAGTTTCTAAATGCACCGTCATCGGCATATTCAATCACTAACCAATATTTTTTTCAATTATTTTAAAAATAAATAAATGGTTAAAAATTAAAATAAAATTTAATATCAAAATAAATACTTATAAACTATATCATGAAGTTATCCAATAAAAGTGAATAATATTACTATGATCATTAACTCCACGAGCTAATTTTTACGAATATAAATTTTAGATTGATATAAATATATATATAATAAATAAACTGATTACAATATTGCATTTTCTAATTATCACACGAACAAGTTCTTTAACAGTGCCAAAGCCACCTATACCAATCTCTTGAAATTACTAAAATTTTGTATTCGTAATATTTGATATCTTTGTCTGAAACATATTCTTCAATCCATTCATTTGAATTATTGCCAGTTTTCATACTGAAATTTTATTTAATTGTGAAATGATAAAAATAATTTTTAGGAAAAACATGCGTTCTCAGCAGATCAACTTTTGAATGAACGGTTTGGTTTAACTTAAAAAATTTTTTGATTGTTTAAATAGAATTTCCTTATTGAGTAGTTATAATCGTCATTAATGCTTAATTCAAAAAAATAATTTTTCGGGATATTGAAGATAAACAATAATACTATAATATTAATTTATCAGTGGTAGCATAAGTTCCTTAAGGTAAGTTGATTGTAGGAATAAATAATTATTAAATAAATATAATTTAAAGTTTAAAATGAGAGTTGAAGTAATTATAATGTTAAATTTTTGTTTTAAATATTTTAAATGTTCATTTTAATTTTTTTTTTAATTTAAATCATATTAAATAAATAAACAAATAAATATATCAATTAAATAGGCAACTATCGTAACTCAAAATAATTAAAAATAGCTAAAAATAACCAAAAATTCAGAATTATTTAAATTTAAATTTAAAATTTTCATATAAATCCAAATGGCTGAAAATAACTGAAAATTCAGATAACAATTTTCAATCTAAATTTAAATTTTTGTATTTTATTTTAATAATAAAGTAATGTACCTCTTTGTCAAAAGGTAATGCTATATTCCGTCTTTTTTATGCAAAAATTCATGAAAATATAATTTTTTTTTGTTCAGGATCATTGATTTCATAAAATAAAGTAAATTAAATATGTCGTCAAGAAAACATAAATATGTTTTATTCACATTTTTAATAATTAAATTAATAAATAAGTTATATACAATTTGCTTATTTCATTCGATATCCATATCATAATGTGATTTTAGATATTTCTCCTCCACCATAATAATATAAATAGGTTTTATCTTTTTATTTTCTAAATTCTTTTGTAGTCTTAGTTGTTCTTCAATCCGTAAAGAAACTCGCCTTCTTCTGTAAAAAAATAGAATTGATAAATAATACAGTACCACATCTTTAAAAAAAAAAAAAAAAAAAAGAATTGATAAAATAACAATAAGTTAGAATTCGTAAAGTTAAATACTCATACTATAAATAAAATTTACCTTCGTTTTCGAATCTTTAAAAACTAAAATACGTTTTTACCGTCCTGGAATCGTGAGCTACTTGCATAATTTATTGAAATTATATATATTTTTTGTTGAAGTTTGGTTGGCTGAATTATAGTCGTTAAAGCAAAATTAAATAATCGAGCAATTTCGTAATCTCGCAAAACTAGCTTATGTTATAAAGATATTTACAAAGTGTAAAGCCTATGTTCATTGTTGTTACGAGAGGTAATCTATCAATCGTTAATAGAAAAAATAGCTGCGGTGACGATTTTTTAATTTTTGATCATATTTTTTAATTTAATCATGGTTCATCTAATTTAGAACGAACTTCATCACCAAATAAACATCTAGATGATTTCATGATAATTAATTCAGCTGTTGCTATATGGATATCTAGAATATCTGATGATTTATTCCATCTTGAAAAATAATTTTTAGTCTCCATTTCAATCACTGGTACTTATGCCTTCATTAGATAATCCAGATTTAATAAATCTGTTTCATAAAAAAGGTTTAAAAAAGCATTAAGGTAAAAAAAAAAATTAAGGAATTTAATCGACATTTTTGTTCATAAGTACAACTTTTACCAAATACGGGCACGGTTATAGATTTGTAAGATGCTTCAGCCGATGCATCTGCTAATTTCGCATTAAATACAAAATTATTTCCTTCAGCTCTTAATTAAGTTACAATTCTTCTACCAAATAATATAAATGTAATATATATATATATATTTTAAAAAAAAGAATAAAGAAATATAAGATAAATAAAAAAGATTATAGGATTCAAAAAGTAAGAAAAAAATCTTACCTTTTGTAAAATTTAATCGGATCCATTCTCATAGTTATAGCCGAACCAATAATAGTAAACGAATAAGGTACAATTGGAGGTTCGTCTAACATACTGTACCATCAATTGAATACATTATTTGAGCTACTTTACTTGGTAAATATAAATATATATATTTATTAACAATTAAATTGATAATATACTTACGAGAATTGATTTAACATCATATTAGTGGTTGGAAGCGGTTAATTAACCGGTTAAGACGTTTATCTTGTTAACCGGGTAAAGATTTTTTTAACCGGTTAAAATAACTAATGTTAACTCTGGCCGAAATTTTAATTTTCGGGCGGAATTAAAATTTTTTTGCAATTACAAAATTTCGCTAGTTTTGCCCAAATTTATAGTGCCGGGCCTGAGTTAAATTTAACCAGTTATTAACCAGTTAAGGATTTTTGTGCCGGTTCCAACCTCTACATCATATGGTAACATGATAATCCATAAAAATAAAATTGTATTAACTGAAGCTTCGTGAATTAAAGTCGAAATTAATTCATTTCGTTGTGCTGTCGCATTTGCATGATATACAAATGGTAACAAATAATCATTATAAAATGTATCTAACATCGAATTCGTTGTCGACATATTTCTCAAAAAAAACAAAATTTAAATTTAAATTATCGGTTTTTAAATATTTATTTGGTTATACTATCAAAAAAATTTTTTTGTTACATGAGATATGTTTAACCAAAAGGTATAAAAGGTATGTCATGTACAAATTTGTTAATCATGAAACACCAAGAACATTTGTCATGCTTATAACTTTGAAAATTCAATGAAGAAATATCGAATTATAATTAAATCCGAAATTTGACAAAATTAAATTTGAGCATTAAATTCATTAGCTTGGCAGAACATCTCATGGTATAATTTTTCAACATTAATTTATTGTAAAAAATTTGGCCCATAACAAATAATTAAATGGGTTAAATCAAATGGAGATTGGGAAATGACATAAAATATTTTTGTACACGTTTCAAACTCAAAAAGCGCATGGTGAGTTTGAATTTATTTTTCCCAAGCCATTCATTGTATTACAATAATAACTAAACCGACAACTGGCTGGATTTCCCAATCTCTAAATAATGCACAATCAGCATGAATAGATCAATTACGTTAACTGTTTTTTAAATGAATGCTTAATTGATGGATGATGTTAGGTAAAGTAATGCAATGCGTGGGAGCATTAAGCGACAATTCAGTTAAACATGAAATCGTGCGCTTCTATTGTTTGCTAAAAATGAGAAAGTGATTTTGATCAGTAACAAAAGGACAAAACAACAATTGTATTTATAATCATAATTACAATTGCATTACGTAAATTGACATCACGTGTGGCGCAACAATTAAAAACGGAATCGTAAGTTTCAATCATTGCACTAAATCGTCCAACATCAATTAACTTGAAAAAAAAAATGTCTTTTGAATGTTTACAAGAAGTTATTAATGATTTTGAAAAACTGCTGGAAGTAGAAACAGAATATGATGTTATTATCTATGCTGGTGAGAATGACAATATAAAAGAATTTCATGCACATTCACTCGTTTTATGTGCTAGATCGTAATATTTTTGTTCGGCATTTTCTAACGAGTGGGCAGAGAAAAGGGATGGAAGATTTATCTTCAAGAAACCCAATGTTTCTCCGTTATTATTTAAAAAGATTCTAAGGTAATATGTAATATTAAGTTTAAATTTCACAGTAATATATATAACTAACTTTTAACTGAATTATTATTTATTAAATTATTTTATATTATTATTTGATATATAGATATCTTTATTGTGGAAGGATTGATCTGTCAGAACTACAAGGTCATGATATATTGATACTCTTAATTGCAGTGTACGAACTTAATATTCAGTATTTAGTCAATTGTATTCAAGAATACTTAATTAAGTATCGAGATGATTTTCTACAACAAAATGCTTTAGGAATCCTTGAAACGGTTTATCAACATGAATTGTTTACAAATCTTAGGAATTACTGCCTTGAAAAAATCTGCAAGGAACCCGAAGTTTTATTTTACTCTGATGAATTTATCGGGTTAAAAGCGCATATATTGGAATTAATTTTAAAGCGGGATGATTTATATTTAGATGAAATTGTTATTTGGGATAGTTTAGTAAAATGGGGACTTGCACAACAACCTTCTATATCGCAAGATATCACCAAGTGGAGTAAAGAAGATATGACAATGATGGAAAGAACCCTTCACAAATTCATTCCTTTAGTCAGGCTTCATTATATTACTTCCGAAGATTTTCTTGATAAAGTATATCCTTTAAAAGAATTACTACCCAAAGATTTAGCTAATAATATCTTTACCTTTTATTTGGCGCCAAATAGAAAATCTAATCTTGACATACATCCACCTAGACATTCAACATATGTTTATGATTCAGTCTTAGTTAAATTTCAGCATTTTGTCATATTTTCGAGTTGGATTGATAAGAAAGAAAGTTTTCATTACAATGGAAAAAGGATTCCTTATAAGTTTGATTTACTTTATCGTGCCAGTAGGAATGGCGATACACCTGCCATATTTCATCAGAAATGTGATAACAAAGTGGCTACTATAGTTATAGGAAAAATTAAGGGAACAGAACAAATAGTGGGAGGATATAATCCACTTTCTTGGGAAGGAAATGATCAATGGAAATCTACCAAAGATAGTTTTATATACTCATTCGTAAATCTTCAAACTGCAAAAGTAGGTTATGTTATGGGTAACGATTTTCAAAAGGCTATAAATTGTCATCCAGGTCGTGGTCCTAGATTTGGTGGTGGTTATGATATTCATTACATGTATAATAATAATTGGGGTTCTAATAACCCACATACTTATTCTCAAATTGATGTTCCAAACGGTCAGTTTCAGATAGATGATTATGAGGTATTTCAAGTTATTAATGGATAAAGTACATAATTATCGTAAATTTACTATTTTTATATAGTATATCATATCATTATTTCAATAAAATTTATTTTTAAATGTATGATTATATCAAACACAAATTACCGTATTTATCTAGAAAATGAAGTTTTTTCGAAAATTTAGTTTTAAGTTTCAAAATGAAATTTTTAAAATAAAGTGAAACGAATATTTTGAATTTATTAAAGATTCAAGAATTATTATATTCACGTCGCACTATGAAAAAGTTGATACGTGTTTGATTTTTTTTTTCGTTAAGGGAATGGCTCATTTTCACGGAATTTATAATCTTAAAATCATAGAAATTTACATTTCATTCACGGAATTTTTACAGAAGCCACGGAGAAATAATGGAAATATTCAGGAAAAATTTTTTATAGGGCTTGCGTTTCCATAAATGAACGGCTTTATCATAGTTGATATAAACGTAATAATTTTTTTTTATATAAACCTTTCATGTCTTGCTTTAACGCTAACTAATACTAAGTCCTGAATAAATAAAGTTAGTCATTGATTAATTTTTATAAGTTTACGTAAACATTACGAAAAGTTTCATGCCCAAATCAAAGATTACGTTTTATACTGTTATACAGCTTCGTCCAAATATGGGACAGTTTCATTTTGGCTAATATATTATATTTAAAATCACACATCGAGCGATTTATTTTATCATTTATACCTTAAAAGTAATAATAAAAATAAAGATGTCATTTCAATCTTGGCAGGAAGCCGTAAGCGATTATGAGTAATTGCTGCTGGAAAAGAACCAACGTAATTATCTATGCCGGTGGAAGCGAAGAAATAAGAGAATTACGCGCTTATTCAAATAGTTTATGTGCTAGGTCGGTTTAACGGCACTCTCTAACGATTGGGCTGGTATCGACGATGAAGGAAATTATATCGTTCGATAGCCCAACATTTCTCCATTTTTATTAATGATTCTCAATTAATGTGAAAATTTTCGTCAATCTTACATTCGAATCCAATTTATTTGTTTCTGAAAGATTCATCTACAGTGGAGATATTAATTTAACGGATTTAGAAGGGCTAGATATATTGAAATTGTTGATTGCAGTAGACGAGCTTAATATTCAAACTATGCCTTCAAGAATATTTGATTAATAAGCAAATATTTTTAAATCAAACTCCTATTGGAATGCTTGAAGAAACTTACCATAATGAACTGTTTAGCGAAAAGTTATTCGAATAGGATCTTTATATCCATTTAAGTGCAAACTTCATGGAAAGCTGTTTAAGAGAGATGATTTCTGCTTGGATGAAATCAAAATTTTGATAAGTTTTGCATAGCGCAATATCCTAACGTCTCCCATGATGTCAAAAGTGGATATATATTTATAAAGTTACTCCTTAGTAGATTTATCAATTTTATTAGATTTAACCATATGGGGTGAGTGCTGGGAAAAAGGACCAAATCGGCAAAAAATTTTTTTTTGAAATAACAAATGATCTGAATCAAATGACCAAATCTATATCTATTTTACTTAGAAACTTTTTTTTTAAAAAAAAATCAATTTGGTCTATTTTCCCAACACTCACCCTATATATCTTCGATGATTTTTATAAAAAGTTGTTACCAAAAAATTTATTTCATAAAATTTGGGAATTTCATATGGTTCCGGATAGGGTAATGGAAATTGATGTATTCCCTCGATAATCTAGCTTGATGATTACTCGACATTTTGATATATTTGCAAGTTGGATCGAAAAGAAAGGAAAGAAAGCTTTCACTTGACATTGAATCACACTTTTATTTTTCGCTTTTGAGATAGGTTGAATATATCAATATAAGAATGTTTACAAAATTTATTTTTTTATTATGCTTTTTAACCAACAAATGGATGATCGAATTTGACGTAATCTAAATCCATTTCTTTTTTTTTACACATCAGAAATCCAAGATACGAAAACCTTCGAACTAAATAAAAATGTGTAATGAAAGAAACTTAATATATTTGATAAAGCTTAAGGTTAATCCATTAATGGCTGATGATGGTGTCAGATGTATTCATCGAATATAATTATTCGTGCTTATTTATTGCGTAACCCTGCTTTCGCCTCTTCAACCAGTTTTTGGCACATTATCCATCTTTCTAGCTATTTT